ACAAGTGCCCCTACGCAACAGCACTCCTGTATCCCTTGAGTAAATTGCTAGCAGTGCTATTGCTGGGTCATAGGGTAGGTCTATTTTTAATTTTCTGAGGAACCTCCACACTGTTTTCCAGACTGGCTGCACCAATTTGCATTTCCACCAACAGTGCAAGAGGGTTCCCGTTTCTCCACATCCTCTCCAGCATCTATAGTCTCCTGATTTGTTCATTTTAGCCACTCTGACTGGAGTGAGGTGGTATCTGAGTGTAGTTTTGATTTGTATTTCCCTGATGAGGAGTGACATTGAGCATCTTTTCATGTGCCTCTTGGCCATCTGGATGTCTTCTTTAGAGAAGTGTCTATTCGTGTTTTCAACACACATTTTCTACATACAAATATATGCACACACATAATTTTCTTTTTTGGTTGTGCCATTTGATTATGAATTGCAGACATCATGATAGTTTAGCATCTATCTTTTAAGAATAAGAACGTAGGAGAACAAGAATAAGTAGGAGACCACGTAACTGCCATACCATAATCTTTTAGGAGAATTAACAATAATGTGAAGTATCTTCAAAATTCCAGTCTGTATTCCAGTATACTGGATCTCTCCACCTCCCTCCCACTTCAAACGGCTCATTGTGGTTTTGTTTTGTTTTCTTTTCTTTTTAAATCTAGGATCCAGACAAGGTTCTTGTACTACCTTTATTTGTTTTATCTCTTTTAATCTAGAACAACCTTCTAATTTTTTTTCATGATATTGGCTTTTAAAACCTGGGCCAGTTGTTTTATTGAAGGTTCCACATTCTGGACTTGCCTGATTGCTTCTTCAGGCCTGGATTCATGTTAAGGGGCAGGTTAGGAGAGATCCTGTAGTTTCTGCTGTACCTCGTCAGAAACATGTTGCAGCATCAGTGATGCTAAGTTTGATTGCTTGGTTAGGGTGGCGTCCCCCCAGATTGTATATTTATGATAATTTTTGTTTGTAATTAATGAACAGATACTTTGAGGACATGTGCATATCCTGTTTCTCAGCAACTCTTCATCCACTAGTGTTAGCATCCACAATGATCGTTTCCTGAATCAGGTATCACATTGTGGTGATTTTTCTAATTCGGTCATTTCTCCTATATTTATTGTCTAGCACTCTTTGTTAAGGAAAAGTTTTCTCTCCTCTACCCGTTTTCTTTCTCTCTTCTTACCAGTATAATTTCGTGGAAGTTTTCATTTTAAATTCAGTGTATTATAATCTATTATTATTATTCTCTTAGATGCTCAGATTTGGCAAGGGGGGGCCCTTGGGCCTAGCTCCTGTGCCCTCGTCTTTGAGTGCTCTTTGCTTTAGGCAAATCAACCATTCTAGGCTTTGGGTGGGTGTTTTCTGCCTCTAATCTGGGAATCACTGTTCTCTTCAAGAAGTCCTGGTTCCTTTAGATTGGGAATGGTGCTTAGAAACTGAGAGCTGGGCACTGGCTTCTTGTTACAAGGTTATTACTACTTCTCTGTCTTCTCAGTAAAAAGAACAGAGAAATATACTTTAAAAAATCAAAAGTTCATAATGACATTTCCTATTTAAATTTAACATTACAGGATTTTTTTTCTTATATTTTTAACTCAGTGAACATTTTGGTTCCTAATTATATTAATATACTTATGGATATTAACTTCTATAATTGTGATACCTTCTAATTTTTTTTCCCATCTCTATCACCATTAACATACATGCTTTTCCTATTTACTTTTGTATGTACTCTCCAAAAATAATAGCCTTCGATTCAATGAGATAGAACAATGTGTAATATATGTTGTGCATATATATATATATATATATATATATATATATATATATATATATATATATATATATATATATATATATATATATATATATTCAAAATCTTATCACAAATCTCAAATGCTGGCTTTGTTTTCCTGGTTTTGCAGATGAGACAGCTGAGGCTCTTAGTGATCAAGCAATTTGCCCCCAAAAGGTGCCCAAGCTTGTCTGGCTTCAAAGACCTTGACCTTTCCAGTGTCTCAAACTGCCTCTTCTCTCATCATCTCATCATCCTCTTTAACTTGACATTTTTTTTCATATTTTGTATTAACTTAAATTTCAGTTTTTCACTGTGACAGAGAAAATCTTAGATGGCCTCAGTCCATTGCCTTGTGACTTTTTTTTTTTCCCAGTTGCAGAAACCTGAGTTTCAAAAGGGAAAATAACCACCCATAACCTTTTCGTCCCCACACGGTGGTTTAGAGTCTTTTTTAGTATCTTCTATGATTTGTTAACCTGCATCAATATTTTTCATAATCTGAATGAATATTAATTGCAGTTCTTTTATAATCTTTTAGACTATATCAATTTCCATATTTCCATATGCTGTTCACATTAACAGTGTTAAATAGCTTCGTAGTCTATGAGATTACATACCAACCATACTCTATGAAATCATGCCCTTACAGAGTTGTTTCAGTGTCTAGTTTTCCTTTTGTTTAATTAATTCCTTTGAAAGAACTTAGAGCCGTTCCTGGACACAAGGGTAGAAGTATTTTAAGTTTCACCATATGTAGTGTGGTAATTCTTTCCAAAAGCACTGATCATGTTGAAGAACTTGTCCAAACTATTTATGCTTTCTCAGCCAGTCGCACACGGCTGCTGTTTGAGCCGAGACCTGCCTAAGACCCAAGACTGTTCAGATGTTCATGTGCCATTTTCCCTGACCCTGACCCAAGCTCCGCAGTATTTCCTTCACAAATAGGTATAACCGTACATCTGTTCTCAATGTAAAACTGTGAATGCCTTCATTTCCCCTTCCTTTGGAAGCATAGCATTTCTCAAGTTCACAAGTCACAAATCATCTTCCCAAATCAACTACTGTTCTTGAAAAAATTACACGGTGAAGCCACATGCTGGCCCATGGAAGCACAGCACATACACCAAACAAAGGGAAAACACTGGCATGGGCTCCATTTGGCCAGGCTCTCTTTGGGTGTAATGACATCTCTTGGCTGGCCAGAGGGATTCTAGTGCATAATCTTTTTCAAACTTGAAAAACTGTTTGTAGATTGGTAAC